AGAACCAGAACAGCCCCAGCTCTTTGGTCTCCCCGTCGGTTGGATCTCATKTGCTTACAAAGACAGATTCTACCTTTGGTGATTCAACCAGTAGGTCTGCAGAAGGTCAGGAGGACAAGGTCCGTGAGGCCCCCAGGTCAGGAWAGCTTACGACCCGTGGGAGACTGGCCACCAGGCTGGTCCAATTTAGCCATGAAACCTCCCACACTAAAATGACAGGTGTTTCAGTTTCATTGTCTAACCCCTGTCTATCAAGTGATTCAATCATAACAAAATGTTGGCACAATTTGTCTAAAACACTACAGTGTGACAGAGCTTTACACACCATCAGCCGTACAGCAGAATAGGGTGTTCATTGTGTTTTTTTTTTGGGTGTAACGTCTCACAGATTGTGCTGGTGGACGATCAGGGAGGTGAACCGGCAGTCGGTGCGCGCCATCCTGTCGACCTTCAACTGGAGTGGGTTCTGGGCAAAATGCCACAGAAAGAATTTAAGATGGATCGTCAGGCCCCGTGTCATAAACCACTGAGTCTTCCTGTGGATCTSACAGTAAAAGCCGCCCTGCAGCGAGTTTTACGTTTGCCCGCCGTCGCCTCCAAACGTTTCCTTACCAACAAGGTTATGTSCTACCATGGTGGAATAAGTTTTCAGCCTGTAAAATAAACTTGTGCTGATGTTCTGTGTATTTCACTGCTCTCGTTCTTCAGGTGGACCGGTCTGTGACTGGGTTGGTGGCCCAGCAGCAGTGCGTCGGCCCTCTTCACACCCCGCTGGCCGACGTGGCGGTGGTTGCTTTGTCTCCGTTTGGCCTGGAAGGAGCAGCGACCGCCATCGGGGAGCAGCCGATCAAAGGGCTGCTGTGTCCCGCAGCGGGGGCTCGCATGGCTGTCGGAGAGGCTCTGACCAATCTGGTGTTTGCCAGGGTCACAGCCCTGAAGGTTGACCCTTACTGATGTCATCACAAAATACACATACATGTTCACCTGAAGTAAACAAGAAAAACTTTTAATGCAGGGTTCCCACAGAGCCTTAATAAGTCTTAAAAGGCCTTGAATGCATCAATCCAAAAATAAGGCCTTAATTAGCCCTAAAAAGTCTTAAAACAATTTTCAGAGGTCTTAAAAATGTAAACACATAGTAAATAAGTTGACTAATTCATCTCCTATATTAAATTAATTCATAACATTTATTTATTTTTGAAATATTCCCATTCAGATGTTCCCTTTTGACATCACTTCCTGTTATTTCACCTGCAAATATCTCAACAACTGTTCATCTGAGCAACGTGAAATTCATTTTCTAATGTTAATAATGTTGTCTTTCCAAAAATGCATTCATGTTTCTTACAAAAATTTGATGTCACAGGCACTTCAAGGTTTTATCTACAGCAAGCTGGGGTTGAGACCCCACTGTGGGTCATAAAACTACAGATTTTGGGTTTAGAGTATTTCCAGGAATTAAATTAAGTTTAAAACTGACTGCTAAGAATGGTTTTTTTTGTTTTTTTTTTTGCTATATTTGACAAAATAGCAGTTAGATTTGGATAAAAACAATTGGTCTATTAGCAATATTTGAA